ACCTGTCACAGGCGCCACGTGGCATGCCACGTCACCCTTGTGAGGGGCAAATGATTAGGGGATTTTTCCCCGCCACGTGGACCACTCGCGTCCTGCCACGTGTCATCCACGTGGACCAACCAAAGTCCGCCACGTGTCACCTTGTGAGAGGTCCAAGGTGGACTAATCAGGCCACGACACGTGGCACACAGATAGCCCATCAGGAAAATGGCCTTCTACGGCCAAAATTCCTAGGCAAAGCCTAGGCAACCCTAGGTTTACTAAAACCTAGTATTGGGCACGTTTTCCAACACCCTATAAAAAGGAGATGTTTCCCTTTGAGGAACATCATTCAGAAACATTTAATTCACATTAACTCACAATCGGAGAAAGTCAGACACCTGACACCTCGAACTGAGCAATTTCACATTGCAGATAACTCTCTTGGAATCCAAGAGAGACCCTTTACTTTCCGCACTTTACTCCTCATACACGTTCTAACTTGATCGTCGGAGGTGGAACTCCCACCCACCGGAGTCTCCGTTGTTTTGCAGGTACAGGTTTCCAGAGGTCAGTCTTGGAATTGTAACTCTCCCGCAGGACATCAAAAAACCCCGAAACAGGTGGTATATTAGAATATGGTCAGCTTTTGCACATTACTTCTGCTATCAAGTTGGCTCCTCTTATTGTTGCAGCTGTAGGAATCTTTGTGGAGTATTAATTTTTGCTACCTGGTCTCTCTTTTGAGAATTGATTATTTTCAAGCGGTGGAATATAATCTTTTCTTGCGCAATTTTATTTGTTTTTCTTCAACTGTGATTTCCCGTAGTAATGTAGTGTCTTCTTCCCGATGATGGTTTGATCCCTTAGCTTCTTCTTCTCTGGATCTACAACTTGGCCCGAGTATATGCGCGACTCTTCTCCTTCTCCGTCATCCGGCCTAGCAGCGCTTATCTCTACTCAATGTAGGTCGTGGTTGTTGCTTCTCATCGTCGTCACCGACACACGTCTACGACTACTCTTTGATCATGGGTTACCGTACTATCCTTACCGTTCGATGCATGATTCAGATCCATTATGAGCATCTGATTTTTTTCCCGCTCCGACTGTGGGGGTGTGATAGAGAATATCCATAGAATATTCTCGTCCTAGGTTTAGGATATTTTTGTATAAGAATATATTTATGATATCTTTACATATCTTGTTAGTTACCTAATATGATTAGGACTCTCATTGTAATCCTATAAATATTGATCAATGGAAATCACTCTAATCAAGGAGTTTTATATTATCTGACACAAATATATATACACTAAACATGGTGATGTATTTTTTAGTATCAATTAAAAAAAAAATTAATGTTCTTTCTTTTAGTATGAAATGTCTTTTCATTTTATATATATAGAGGGATAATATTTCATGTTATTTTTAAGGGTAATAACATATATATAGCCCTAAATATTAAATATACTTCCTAAAATGTCTTTTTAAATGCATTATATTCCGTATCTTCCTTTATTGTGAATTGTGTTTTTCCAGGAGCATATGATGGGTGCATTTAACCATATGCAACACCAATGTGGCCCATTAATATGTATAATGTAAATATGCTTTTTTGATCAATAAACTACTCCCTCCGTCTCTAATTTTTTGCCCCATTTGACTTTTCGCGGTCTCCAACAAGCGTCTTAAAATGGTTATATCTCCATTTTCACGCGTGTAAAAATTATAAAAACTAAATATCAATAAAATGTACAATGAGACGTATCTAACAAGATCTCACATGATTATATTATCACTTATAGATTAAGAGTATTTAATGGTCAAAGTTTATAAAATTTGACCCAAATATTTGCAATGGGGCAAAAATTTAGGGACAGAGGGAGTAATACGGAGGAGTATTACTCTCTATAATTTTCAATATAATTTCAAAAAGCTACCAATTCTTTGAAAATCTAGATATTAAGTTTTTTTTTTTTTTTTTAAAGATTCGTGTTCTATTCGATTATCTATCATTTCAAAACCTCCACTTGGCTTACCCTCACCTCTCCAATTCAACTAAATAGATAGATAAAATAAATTAAATCATTCATTTAGACTATATGTATATGAAATATTTAGAATAACGGCATAAGATACGTACACTTCAGCTTAACTTTTGTTATGTTGCACCAAATAGATGTATTTGTTTAAAATAAAATGTCTCCTAGAATTAGAAAAAGGCAACTACTAAAAAAATATTGTCTTCTTGATGGATTTTAAGGACAAAAGAATCCACCTTAGTTTCTTGTATTGGTGTTGAGAAATTACTAATCTAATTACTAACAAACAACGTACCTTAGCTTTTATCAAAAGCCGTTGCTACTTTCTACCACAATTTCCATATATAAATATGATGCTTTTTATTACTTTGTATTTAATAATAATGTATCGGATCATATCATATACACTTATTCTTAATTAAAGCTTCCATTCTTCTTTTCTTAGAAATAATAAAGCTTCTATTCTCATTGTGTATCTTTTAATAATGCATATGTCAATGCCCAAGCTAAGGATCGAAGATTCTATTAAGTCCGAACTATAAAATTTCATTAATTATAGACTTTGTTTTAAAATCCTTATTTTGTTGTAGAGAATCGTTTCTTTAAATTACCAAATAATTTTAATCTTAATGGTGATCTATCCATCAAGTATCTATTCTCACATTATCGACAATGGCATACACCTCATAATTAAGGATAAATGCATAATTTTACAAAATAGATAATCAATGCCATTTTGCATGTAAATTTAATATTTAATAAGTGATGTAATATATGCAAAATGTTCACAATTTCGCATTAATTTCTATAATGGAGATTAATGACTTAATAATAATAATTTACTAAAGCAACTCACATCACAATTTCTTATAGTAGAATAAGATGTACGTAATAAAACAAAAGTAAAACATAAATTATCTTAGTATGAGATATATAAGTCTTATAGCTAATCATAGTTTGTAGAACATTGAGGAATTAACTACATATAATAACCTAGGTTTAAGGCTTAATTATGCATGAGTTAACTTCAAACTATAGTGAGATATCTTTTGTGGTGGCAAACCCGCTACCACGCACTTTTCCACTAGCCTCTATAAATTTAAAGTAAGATGGTGATTTTAAAGTCCAAATAATCCACTCAATTAATAAAATCATCTCCGAGTTGCTACATCTATATCAATAATTGTACCTAATCCTTCCATTATAAATATAAAATAATTAATATCGAATGCCACCAAAGTGATGGACCAATGGTGCAATTAAGTAGAAAAAAGTCATCATTTCTAGGAATTTAATTTGTTGGCTTTTTTTGATGGAAAATTGACCCTATCACGTACTTGGAGTACAACTTTGTACACACTAATAGACCAATGGTACATATCAAGGTGTTGACTTCTTCATAGCATTGAAACATGTTCCTTGTTCATTGTGTGTAAGCATATACAAGGATTACAAGCTACTTAATTATTTTTGTTAATTTTTTTTTTTAAGATAAAGGATCCTATTTAACTGGATCCTATTTAACTAGCACCTCTCACAAGCCAGCTACACTGGTCAACTTTTGAGAGTAGAGGGGGGAGGTGAGGTAAGGAAATCCCTCACTCTTAATTAATTGTAGTTGACGGGGTTTGAATTTGTGTGACCTCCAACTCCACCAAGCATGCTACTCCAAATTCACTTGGTTAATAAGTTAAAAAATACAGGTTAGCTACATGTTGCTTTGCTTTAATATATTCTTCTAACTCAACATTATACTTTCATTTTTTATTTTTACATGTAGAAACCTTTAATTTAGCTTACTTATCATGCGTTTGAGGAAATTTTTGAAAAAGATCAAATAAACCTCCTTAAGTCTGAAGTATTGTGCGCGTAGTCCTATAAGAGCTAGATGTTTTACAAATTAACCTTACTAGTGTGTATGTGAAATACAAATCGCAATATGTTAGTCCTTTAATCAATCCATCATAGTAGTGTTTGGACTTTGGACCATAAAATTTACAATGAAGCAATGTGTTCGCAATCCCAAATAAAGCCAAATTTGTCGACCAAACCAAATAAACTTTGGCGTCAAAGGGACTTGGACCTATTTTCCAAGTACGCGGCGTAACTTGAGCGTCAGATATATAATTTGCGAACTTCTTACTTAATGTTTACATATAATAAAATTAATATGCTGCCAGCTCGTAGCCTCGTAGTGCACGTATGACCAACGTCTTGATCTGCCTCCGCTCAAAAGAACACTCACCTTGATTAACGTGTGAGTGTATATGTCGTATTGTTTTTTTTTAAAACTAATTATGTCGTATTATTGTTACATTAGGAATTCCCCCGTGAGAAGGGTTTTCTAATGTTTATTTTTCTTACGTTTTAAGAAAAAAAAGTCGGTATTGTCGTTATACCTTTTGTTACACACTAAGTCTACTAACCCTTATTTAATTTTCCATGTTCAAATAATTTTTTTAAAAAATATTTTAAAAAAAATGCCACCGATATTTTATCTGCTAGGAATATTTTGTTGTACATTTATTTTAATTCATGTAATAGTCGAAAATGATATCTGTAATCTGTCAGCATTATTATCTCTAATAAATGTTCCAGCTAGCTAGTGAGTCAATACTCACAATTTCAAAGTAGAAATAATCTGAATGCAATTGCTAATAATAACTTTACTCTTTTTGGTTAAATTCCAGCTGTGTTGCTATGTGTAGTTGCCCTAGCTAGTTGTTTTCTAGAGTTAATCCTTTCTTGGGCCTCAATCATTCTCTTTATCTCGTATATCAACATATCGTTATAAACTAGGTCACTTTCGAACCACATACATACATGGTCATATACTCATATCTCATACTTCATATTAATTAATTAATTTATAATAACTAAGTTAGCTAGTTATATTCACATTATTTCACCTATAGCTATTACACATAATTGTCGAAAATAATTTTAAAGGTGCACATAATATTTGTAATGGAAACAATCTACTACACGTAATGCTCAAATTTATATCAAAGAATGAATACTCCACAAGTGAACATATAATTAAAATTTTTGTTTACATTATACATTACTCATCTAAATCACTATTCTCCTAAACCCTAAGGCTAATAAATAAACACGACGCACTTACGTCGTTACACTCTCCCTAAAACAATGTGTTGATTGCTAGAATAAGGAATAATCATAGGAGAAGGAAGAGGCTTAGCAAAGTAACTAGGGTTATCATCACCGGCCATAATCACAACAAATTTAGACTCATTTTGGCTAGCCGGGGCCGGTAAATTCGACGTCGTTTTTCGAGTTCCATCAACATTGTTGCCATTTGAGGAAGAATATTTTCTGAAAGAACAAGCTAAGATAAGTAAAGCCATAGCAATAAGACATAACATAAGTGCTAAACCACCAAATAGAAATGGTACGGGGTTGTTCCACGAACGTTGTATGGCCATCGCGGCGTCATTTACCGTGGTGTTGTTGGCCTTAGGGGTCGTCATGGTTGCATCCTTCATTATCATTGTCGTTCTCTTCCCTTTCTTAATCGTCTTAATTTTTTTTTTCTCTAATTAATGTGAATAATAAGATGGTATTTTAGGAGAAATGATGATTTTTTTTTTTATGTAATCAAAATGATTTGTTGATGATTACTTTGCTAGCTTTTTATAGAGGGTTTATTTTTAGAATGTTGTACACGTATTATAGACGTGATTATTTATGAGAATTACTAAATTGCCCTTGTATACATGTAAGATCAGATTAATAAGGAAAGGATGATACTTACTTGGGCACTACTCATTCTTTGAAATTAACGACCCAAGGAAATTTCTAGGCAGTTGCCACATTTAATGAATACTTTGAAAAATAATTATCATGCATTTGCAAAAACATGATCGTATCGCCACATTTCTTGTAATATTTTTAGGAATTTATTGTATGGAAAAACACTTAATATGAAGTGTATAATTAATAATAACTATATATTAAAGGCGAAACCTGAAATGACACTTGTCATTTTCTGGTTAAAAAATTTTCCATCTTTTTTTTTCTTTGTTTTTTTTATTTGCCACTTTTTTATGAAATTCATTTTACAACCTATAATAATAGTTATTTCTATTTTGACAACATATTTAATCCAATTATACTCAATTTTTTGGTACATATATTTTATATACTAGAAAACTTTTAGCTACAAAAATACTAACATGGATTAAAAATAAGGTATTGTAATATATTATATTCCAAGATTATTATAGTATTATCAATATCAATTTTTTTCTCCAACTTATCATTTGACAATAAAATTTATTTTAATTAAAAAAAGTAAAATCATTTTGGTAGCATACTTTGTATAAATCTTAAAATTACATAAAGTTGATAAGAACAAAATCGTTTAATTATAATATTCATAATATATATTGGAAAATTAAATCTAATTACTCTAAATATTTATGTGATTATTTTAAAAATAAAAACCTCTACTACTCACTAAAAATATATTTAAAAAAGTTGATTCGGAATACTAATTATCCTAAACTAAAATAAAATCAATTAAATTTTCATATTATGCCGGTCAAAGTGTGTCAAAAATTTAAGGATAAATGTATATGAGTTCGTATGTGGGTACTAACCTAAGCTAATATTTTAATTTTCTTATATAAAACTACCTTATAGCTTCTAAATTTCTATTACTATATATATATATATATATTTTTTTATACAATCCAATTCAATAACCTTTACATATTTGGTATTAGTATAAACTAAAATTCAAGTTATTTTATTATAAATAATATTTTTGGATAAATTATTGGTGAATTAACACCATTATTTATAATTTATTTGTTGTAAAATTAAATTTAATTATGACCGTGCATGGCATGGGACTTAACCTAGTTACGGACTAAATATATGTCTGATTTTTGAAAAGAAAAAAGAAAAAAAAAATCCTTTGTAAGTCAATATTACTCATACTATGGAGTATTAATTATGTGAGACGTATTTAATCAAGATAATACAAAGTACTACTAAAATCTACCAATTTGTGTTTTAAAAAAAAAAAAAAAAAAAAAAAAATCTACCAATTTGACCTTTCTATTTTGTCAATTGATTAACAATTAATATCAATTTAGATTTATCTTAATTATCTCAATCGCTAAACCACGCTCTCAAAAAGTTTATGAAATGTATGTATTTAAAGAGTGCTATATATTTAGCAACTTACTATAATCAGAGATTTATAATTTAACAACCTCAATAATTACAATATATGATACTAACATGAACGGACATTTTTATTATGTCTTGCATGTCATGTGTTTAATACGTCAATTACATTAACCTAACCATTCCGTAGATATTATCTAATTGTATGTTAATTAATTAAGAATGAAAGAAATTTCATGTTGCAAAAAACCAACGGAAAATAATAAAGAGGAATCAAGTATGAATAAATTTTAATGAGGTTCCTAAAAAGTCTAAGAAGCTTGTAGAATTTGCTTTAACCTATACATATCCAAATTAATTGGACCCACTAGACGTGTTTTATGGGTCGAAGCATATAATTTCATGTTGCTTTGCTTACGCAAATGATTTGATTCAATTTTAGATTATAATCCATTTTACAATTCACTACGGAGTACTAGTTTTATAGCACTAAAAGGTATCTTTCATTTTCAATTCCTCAATTTAACACCATAATCGATGTCTTATAATGACAACCCAATTAATTGTTGAAGTTCATTAGATAAGATCATGATAAATTTTAAGTTGAATTATTGTTGAGCTTATCTAATCGAAAAATGAATTAAAAAATGTAACTAATCAATTAAAAAAACTTTTATTTTGACAGTAAAAGCGTATAATAACTTAATAATAATAGGTTTTATATCGACTAGTTAGTAGCTTGGAACATAGATAAACAAATTTGATTTGAGATATTTCTAGGGATTAGTTTTTTGATTTATTTGGCCTTTTGATGGAGTTAATATAATGAAGAAAGATCAACGTAGTAAAATAAATATCTTTTAATATCAAATCCTTAATAACCAAGCTATACTCGACTTATTATAGTAAGATATATGAGGTCTAATTTAATTATATGGCACACAACACCCGCTTTCCGATGATAAATTACGTTAATATCTCAAACAAATATCTATAGCCAAAAGATTGTGCATTTGTTGGTTTTATGGAATCCGTTTTTCATCTTTACTAAAGATGACTTTGAGTATAAGTTTATGCAATATATAGAACAATTAATTGGTGCTCCCATGGGAAAATTGTTGGCCGAAAGTAGACAAGTTGACAATAAAATTAGAGCCTATGATGAACAACAATTATTTGAGTGGAAAAGTGCGTAGGATTTGGGATAAGGATGAACAGATTGATGAAGGTTCAAAAAAGAAAGAATGAAAGTTTTAATTATGATCACCAATTGTAACAATTATAAGTGAGATAATGAGAGTTATTGGATGAGCCCAATATACAATAGGCATATGATTATTTGTTGGGCCACCAGGCACCAACATAGCCATTGCCCATTGCACTAGGTTAGGCTAGCTTAAAGACAATAAAAAATTTGATCATCTAAGAAAGGATCAAAATTTTGGTGAGCACGCATGGGATGACTAATGGATGCATATTTTGTTACACGTTTAGCTTCTTGGTATATATGACCGGAGTTTACTTAAACCTGTTTAATGGTTTATTACGCTAGGTTAGTTTTGATTACCATCATCGAATTAAATTAAATTTTTACTCCAAGATTCATCATATCTTCCTAATCAATCACTTTAGATGTGCGTATCTTTGTCCTTAATTTCCATTATACTTTGTGATATTCTAAAAATAAATAAGAATTTTCAATTATGGAGTACACTACATTGTAAATTTCATAAATAACATACTCCTTATTTAGTATGATTGTGTCTCTTGTATATGGCCTACTTGCATTATTTTGCAATAATATGATAACATAATAGATAGAGCCTATGATAATTCCTCGAATATTAGAGGCTTGAAAGACCCTTTTGGTATTAGTTGAAAGAGCAAGAGTAGTCGAGCAAGTACGAAATGTGCCACAAGAATGAGATAATAACAATATACGGAGTTAAAAGCATGAACGAGACCAAATAAAAGAAGTCGGTCGAGATTAAATAAATTAGGGTATAAGATTGAAAAATAATCCTAAAGTTAATGAAAGAATAATTCAATGAGAGTGAAAGTAAGGCCCTATTCACTTCACCTTAAAAAATAATATTAAGTAAAAATAATTTCAGTTAAGTAAAAATAATTTCAGTTCAGTAAAAATAATTTCATTTCAGTAAAAATAAGTTCATTTCAGTAAAAATAATTTCACTTCAGTAAAATTCAGTAAATTTAAAGAATAAATATAATAAAAAATCAGAAAAAATAATTTCAGTTCAGCAAAAATAATTTCAGTTCAATAAAAATAATTTAGGTTCAGCAAAAATAAGGTGAAGTGAACAAGCCTAAATTCCTAAAACGATGAATTGATGATTACTCATTAAGTCATTAGTCATTTATAATGTGGACAAACCCGCAAACGTATTGTGCATGAACAGCATGACCGATGACTCAGAGTATTCTGAAGGTACTTGCTGATTAAAATTACAATCAAACATTCACAATTCACGAAATCTGAAAAATTCCCTGAAACCCTAAAGGTAAAATCTTTGATCCATTGCTTACTCCAATTTGCATAATCCATGTTTTAGCGATGGTATGTGGAAGTATGAGCAAATTTATACTCAATTGGCCAAAAAAAATAGCTAATTTACTGATTCTGTACTACTCTGATGAGAATTAGATTAAATTTTGTAGAAATTTATGGTTTCTTGGTACTAATCTGTGTTTTTAGATGAAAATTTCAAATGAATCAGCAGCCTCTTAACTGGGTTTGGTTTATTAAATTGTGGGAAATGATTTATATTACATGGGTATTTGTTTATTTATCTAGGGTTTTGGTATTTTATACTTGTATAATCATATTTATTATGTTTGTCGATTAGAATGTTGATGAACTAATTGAGAAATTGGAAGAAATTTGGTAAATTTCTGTTACAAAGTAAGGGGAATAATCTAGTAAGTTGCTATTTAAGGGGGAAAAGAAGTCATAATGATAATGTCAAGCTCAAAGTTTCAAACTCAAAGAAGAAGGGGGTTGATATGATCAGGGTTACTGAAGGGAGCAACTTGATTCCCCTGATGATAACGAATGCAAATTGGAGCGCGTTGAGATCATATATCCGATTTTATATGCTACCTTGTGTAAGATTTTCTTCAGTTTTCAACTTGAAATCATTCATGTTTGATCGATGTTAATTAATGTTTTGAATAGGTAATTTGGTAATAGGAACTAGAAATAGTGGTGGTAGCTTGCTAGCTTGAGATTATTTGCATGTATGGCTCATAGAAGAATAACTTATTCAAAAAAAAAAAAAAAAAGAATAACTTATTCACTATAGTGTTAATTGATGTTTTCAAATAGGTAATTTGGCAATATGAACTAGAAATTGTGGTGTTAGAGTGCTAGTTTGAATTTATTTGTCTGTACAGCTCATAGAAGCATAACTTATTCACTATAATGTTAATGAAGAGCCGCTCCTAAGTTGCAGGAGCAAGCTGTATAATGTCTACATTTGACCTCCTTAAAGTGAGAAGTAAAGAGTCATTGTGGATGATAATCATATTGTATGATATAATCCATACCAGTGAAGAGTGATTGAATTTAGCCATTGCATTTGTGAATAACTTGACAATGAGAAGAATGAATGCTTTTAGAGTTAAACCATTTGTGCTTGAATTTGACATTGACAAGGTTGGATGCGATCTCCCTCAAATTAAAGCAATTTTAATGTTTCCTTTGTGTCTTAGCCAGTTCTTTAATCATGCTTTTTGTTTGCTCGAAATTGGTAAAACCAATCCTGTTATGGCTATCCTCAATTATATATACATGTGCTGCTCCAGTGACCTAGAATGGCTCAGGAATAATTTTGGTAGATAGAGAATAAGAACTTCCCAAATAACACAAGTTTAGTTAAACAATTATCCTTACAGCATATGGGCTAGCAGGATATTAAGTTTGAACTGGTAGTAATGTTTTGTGTATAGATGAAGTTGTCAATGGATGTCCATCTTTAGGCACAGTAGTGGTGAACTTAACTTTAAATTTGCCTCTTTGGTGCATCATCGGTTTTGGATTTCTGCTGTTTTTCCCTTTTGTGGATATTATTCCATCTAGCTTACATATCACTTTGGTTTTGGTATAAAGTTCCCTTTCTTTTCAACTCCTGCCACTTGCTGTAATTGACGGTTCGTATCTTGTTCACCACTGAAAAAAGCCATTGTCCAAAGGCCGGTCACCTGATGGAAAAGTGTATGCCACTTCACAGGTATTTGAGTAAGTTGGTTGCATTGGATGTCCTGGATCTCAAGGATCCTGAATGATTTCCAGCGGCATAAACTTGGTGACTAGGGTGAATATGGGAGCTTAAATGCTCAAGTTGCAAAGTCTGACAGATTGTACGGGTCTATCAGATGGCGATAAAATGCCCTTTATCCATTGCAGTTGACAAAGTTTGAAGTTTGCAAAGCTTAAGCAGCCTTCATATTTTTCGAAAAGAAACATTTTAGTGGAGCATATAGCCTCACCAATTCACCATTCATGCAGATTCTCATCTTCTATACACACTGAAATTGATGCAGCAGTTAATGGTTCTTCTGAAGTCATCCTGGATGTCTGCGACAATATCAGATAGCTTCTGTAGTTTGCTTGACTTGGAAATGCATGCATTGACATATTCTTTTACTATTGTTAGCTAAAGAGGATGGATGCAAATATATTTTCCCCAAACTAGAGTAAGAACTAAGTAAAAGTAAAGTAAAGTGGCCTTAGATTTTCTTGAGGAGGGCATTTGGTGGTTAAAACTTAAAAGCCAAATTTTACAGAAAAGGAAGTCATTATTCCACTGGTTACAGTGAGATGTTTAGCATTATACCTTATCTCCACTGAGTTGTGGATTTTTGTTCCTTTGGATAGTTTTTGGTCATTTGCATTTGCTTCTATTCTGAACATTGATATTGATTATTCTGTAAAATTCAGTAGCAAGTTTTCATAGTGCACGTTATTCTTAAAGCTAATTTATGGCTGTAGGGGGTTAACATGTTTTCTGTAATACCTCTGCTTCTGTTCTCAGTCTTCTCACACTAGTTATTGTCACTTGGGCACTATCTGTTTTAAGACACATATTTTTTTATCAAAGCATTTCTGTACCAATGAAAGAAGAAATTAAATGTAATTAGGTTTATCTGATTCATTGCAGGGGTCTAATATTGAAGGCCTGTTCAGTATGAAGTTTCTTCCGAGCTGTGAAAGGTACGGAGTAATATGTAAGTGAATTATTTCAAGTGCTGCGCTTGTTAATTTTGTAAACATCAACATTAAATTACACCAATTACTCTGGAAGGGGAGTGAAGCGCATGCACACATCCTTACCTCTGCGATAACATCAACACACTCTTCACAACCCTGAATTTAAAAGTAAATATTTCAGGACTCGTAGCTTCATGTATATTGCTGTCAATTAATCCTTTAACTTACTGTCATAACCTAGCTATTGCTTATTCTGTGGCTCCTCTTGAGTGATTGATTTAATGAAGAAAGCATGTTATATATACTTGTTTTGTACAATTTTACACAAAAAAAGACGTAAGGATAACAAGACAACATTTTAGTAACTAAGAACATATAGGTCAAGACTGATAAAAAATAATGAAGATTTAACTGTAGCACAACCAACTCCATTTAAAACATCACCTAGATTGATCAGAAGGATGGCACAATGCCATATCCACCGTCTGACATCAATGAGTTGGTGAACATCTGGTCCATCTCTGCTTCAACATCTGTTCTCTTTGCGAACCTGCCTTTGATCCGAGGTCTAGTCTCTGCATAGGCCTTTCTTGAAGCATAACGGATAGTCTTCTCAAACTTTCTATTCTTCTTCTTTTCTCTGTATCTCATGACCCTGGCCTCTCTGTCCAGTGGTGATAATTGAGTTGGCACTTGCATTGGAGGGCTAGAAAATAGGTCGATTGTTCCTTTGGGGGGCCTTGGATGTGACACAGACATATCACTCATGGTGGATTCTGGTACGACACCCACATCTAGTGAGGAAACTGAAACCTGCAAGTCATAAAATTCTTGGTCAGATTACTGAGAAGTGAAAACTAGCGTCTGTATCTCATGTGAGGAATACAAGGAAATTCTTATTCTAGAGATAAATTCTACTTTGGCTGATTTCTGATGCATTACAATTCATCTTTAATCAAGTTAACAACTAACATAAACTCGTAAAGATCAAGAAGATGCGGGGAGCTGTAACTACTGACTAGTGATATCCTTTTATTAGATCTATTAAGTTTTTATCTTTGAGTTGGAGATATTGACTTAACCCTTTTGTAACTACAGAATATTCTTTTAAAACATCAAATTTGAACTCAGTATTGACACTGAATCTTTCATATGACAGATGTATTCAACACTTGTAAGACTGTCACAAACAACACATAGAGTATGCCTAATTGACCAGTTAGATTATTTCTGCAAGATGTGTTCCTTCAAAGGAACTACAGTGATCAAGCATAATCCTTATCGTGGCTCAAAAAGTAGGATATAAAACAAGATACAGCAGTTCTGTTGACGCTCTATCTTATTTCGTTTAATTAATTGTTTCTCATCTTTTACCTTCTGTGTAATATAATAATTTTATGGTCAGAGCTAATTCTTTTAACTTTCTGTAATATACTTTTAAGGTTGACATATAACATAATGAGTTAAAGACATAATTTTATAATAGAATAATGCTAATGTTAGAAGTTGACTATATATAGATGGCAGGATTTGCAGAAAATGGAAAGCTTTCTATTTAAGCAGAGAATCTACTTACACTGTGACTACTTGGTGTGTTGTAATTATACTCAGATTTGGTCTCACATTCCATCCCAAACAAAAAGTTCTGGTACTGTATTTGGTGATCTTTTCCTTCTCTACACTGAACTGGTACGACGCTGTCGCCTTCACAGCTCTTCTCAGGGACACTGAATTCCTGCTGCTGGTTATACTGCTCGCAGAACTGATTATCTGCAGCACCTGAATTATACTCAAAGAGGTCCAGGTACTCATCAACCTCTCCTCTTCCAGTTAAAAACCCATTTGTAGTTTGGTTGTTGCTGTTCTTACCTGGATTAAGTAGCAACCATGAAGCAGCTTCATCCTCGTCCCCTTCATGATCAGTGGTCTGATCATCTCCCTCTGCCAGGTCCAGGAATCCGTCCTCAGACATCCTTCCATCTGAGGGACCATATGTGCAACCGACAGGCATAATTGGGACCCGGTGGTGGCGGCGAGCCAATGGGTTAGCTGAGTGAATGTCAGCATCACAGGTAGCACAGAGTGATGCTGCATCAGCCTTGCACAAGAAGGCTGCTGGTGCACGTTCACACGCTTCACACACCCAAACCCGCTCGTGCCTTGAAGCCAACTGATTGGCAGCGTGGATCCGTGCGTCGCAGCTGGTGCAAAGGTATGCAGAGTCTGCTTTGCAGTACACCGTGCACGGTGCTGAACGGCACGTGTCACAAGCACGTGCCCAGCTATTGGTATCCCCTCCTGGTATTTCCTTCTTCATCATCTCTCTGTCTCTCTTGCCCTTTTTTTTTTTCCTTCTCTTTATTTGCTTGTTATCCCTGTTGTGAATTCTAAGCAAATGTGTTTAGCTAGAAAAGAGGGGGGGAAGAGACTGTTATGCAATGACTCAAGTGGGAAGGGGAGAATCCAGCAAGCGACACGTGGCGAGTACGTAGTGGCGGTAGAAAGCTGTTGCTTTATCTTGTGGCTGGCTATGCTTTAAGTGGGAGTCACAGGTGTTGGTGTTCATAAGGTCCTACAATTTTGCTAGTATGGCCTGCCTTGTGGAACTATTTGATTATATGAGGACCACAAAAGGCATACTTAAGGGCATGAAAGATGCAATGCTTTATTTTTTCTTTTCCCCTTTAAGTGTGTCTCTTGGACCCTTTGGACTGACACAAGGATTCCTCTTTGTTTGTAGGCAGCTGACTGCCCATACCATATCCTGCATATTGACACTCTCTTACCACGTGGTGTTTAAGGTTTTTGTGTCAGTCGCACTGTAGGTTGCTAGGAAAGTTATGTTAGTTGGACTAAATTTGGTTAAAACTATAATTTTTTAGTTCAATTATTGGAACTTTAGTTGTATTTCTACAATGGTTTGCTTGCAGCACTCATTTCCTCTTCTATCTTTTCCTCTGCAGCATATCTGGTTGTTTGCTGTAAACGGATTGTGTCATAGCTTTTCGAACACATTTATGACTGTTTTGGCCTAATTGATGATCTTTGAATATATATGTATATACACACAGCTAGAATGTTTATTTTTGATCCATATGAATCTCTGTCATGTCACAGGTGAATAATAGATGGTTTCCATAACACGTCTTCAAGCTATGGAGACCGACCTTGTTAGAGAATCTCATCAAATGTTCGAATGGATTGTGGCACATGAGTTCTCATACTACCGGCCTAAAATATAGCCAGGTACACTGTTTCGGGCCAAGACATGATGTCCTTTGTTGGCCGCGGCCTAGTCCATGATCAGCTCTTAAACGTATGTAAGAACTTGGATTTTCTGATTCCGGTCTATGGAATGTCTTATATGATTATATGTACTCAACTCTGCTTCTAATCAGTCACAATTTGTTAAGAGACAATTTTTGTGGTGGAGATTTCTTCTATGAACTTACTGAATGTGATTTACTTTAAGAAAGATGAATTTAATGATTATCTTGAATGGCAACTACCAGATTTTGAAGTTTATGCTGAATTGCTGACAACCTGCAGTTAACCTTCAACAATCACAGGAATTGAGTGGGAATGACTGTTAAGATACAGTTAGTTCTGCAAGTGTTAAAATGAAATAAAAAGTGAGTCAGAAAAGTAAAATAAAGGGACTTAGCTTTTCCAAAAATATGTATGATTTTTATTTTTTTAAAATTTATTTGATTGGAAAAAAAAAGTGTGATTTTTGATACCGACACGACATACTTTTTCCAAATTTGTTATGGAGTAATTTTTTTTTTTTTTTTTTAGTTTTATAAAATTTGTTTGATTAAAAAAAGAGAATATAATAGTGGGATTCGGCAATTTTCTATAACTAACTAGTGCTACTTTGAACATGATAGGTTGTACGGTAAATATCCTTGCAAATTGACAAATAAAAGCGAATTAAATTTTAATAAATAGAGTAGGTGTTGAAAGAATTGCCGAGTCAGACAATTTACTTGGACAAGAGAGGTTTAAAACTAATATTATCATGCCATGTAGGCAACTACAAGATTAGGATTCTTTCTTACCACAAGTTTGTTCATCATACTTTGATATTGACATTCATGTTTATCACATACCCTACCTCTTCTTGACAGCCTGGATAATCATAAATCATTTATCACATTTTTGTTTTTTCTATTTCTATTCCACTTTTCTTTTCTTTTTTTGATTTTTTTTTTTTTTTTTTGGACATAGAAATTTGGTGGTAAATTCACTGATTAATCAATTCTGTAACTCATGATTATTAGGAGTCTATGATATTAAGAAGGTAATTTCCTTGCAAAAAGGGTGAAAAAGGTGATGAATGACTAATCTAACATTTTTGAATAATATTCTTAATTTTAAAATGGAATCTAATTTACATCCATTCTTCAGAAAAATACTCTCATAAGCTAACTAATCTTTACTATCATTTCCTTTTTTGAATAGACATGATTTATCCTTTCAAAAAAAAAAAAAAAAAAAAAAAAAAAAAAAAAAAAATAGACATGATTTATAAATAAAACTATTAGTTCGTATTTATTAATATTATCAATATAATTCATCTGAATTGTTGCCTTCAATAAACGCCAAGCTTGAAAGCTACAACTACAAGCTAAGCATACAACCACATTTTATTAAAGTTCAAAGAAAACGAATTAAATTAATTAAAACATTCATGGAGCTCCTTGTTAATCAAGTAATTAGCTTAATTGACTCCATAATTTGTGAAAAAACTATAAACTTCATATCTCCTAGGCACAAGTTTTGGACTTTTCTTTTTTTCATCTTATTTTATACAAGTCTACAAAAGAGGGAAGATATCTAATTTCATTATCTTTGAGTCAATTTAAGGGAGTTTTGTTTTATTAACACCTGCAAAAAAAGACATGAAAACATGACATTGATAATTGAATCATTTTCATCCATAAACCAGATATTATTACAGTGTAAATTGATAGATTTCTAACCCAGAAAATCAACAACTTGGGAGGTGATTTTTAGACCACAAATATATTTGGATAAGGCTTTCAACCTAAGTTTGATTGCTTGGCACACAATTACCTGGATGGGGTTTTTCATACTTCTATTTATGCTATTGTCAAGTCATGTGGCGTATTAGGATAAGGATCATCCGATCATATAACTTACTTAGAAAAAAAAATGACATACTTTTTTTAGTCGGTAAAATCACGGAATGTCATTGGAGGTGACACACAAAATAAATAGATTCAATTTGTTTTGAGACGGCTCAAGTCATACTTTGTTTATTATCAATTAACGAACCGAATTAAGTAGTTAATTAAATTTCTAATTAGATTAGCTGAGGTCAGTTCAATACGACTGAGAATTAAATCATATAAATTCAAGTTTAATTTAATATTAATTTGAACAATTTTCGAGGTTTAAGGTGGTACCTTTAATTTAAGATTGAATTATGTTCCCACACACTCATTTGTAAGAATCAAAGAATAAAATAGGTACATATTTCTTTCGTTTGGATAATTCATTGTTCCTTGATGCTTCTAATTAATTATAATATATTATTGTGGCATGCACATTAACATAAGTATATGCTTAATCATCTTATATATGCTGGAAATTGTGGAAAAATTACGGTTCATAAAGCTGACAATTACATAACAAAAGAACCATATCACTAAGATAGGCAAGATCTAACCAAAGCTAATTGACCAAAAAGGAACAGAATAAAAAAATTCGAATAGTATTTGTTTTACAATTTTACAATACATGATAAAAGTAAAATGAAACTTCAACTCATGATAAAGGATCCTCAACAAATTAAACTAATTTTATACAGAAAAATTACGAGTAATTTAATAAAAACTCAAAACATAAAATAATTTGTACATATAAATAAGAAATGATACGAGTAATTTAGTCAAAAACTCAAAACATATGAAAATTAAAATCGATTCTAGCTTTTACTCAACAAAATTGAATCTTAGTTTAAAACTACTCCATCTGTTAAGCTTAAGCGTAATTAATGCACCATTTAATATGAATTCTTATGATTTTTAAGTTGATATTCAAAGCAATTATTGTTGTTGAAGTAAATTCTAGTTCTTGTTTCTAGATTAGATCTTTTGTAGTGTTTTCTGCTTTTCTTTGTAGATTATAGTAGGAATGTTATGATATAGGATCTATACATCAATGGTTGAGGTCATATCACTCCTATGCCTCATATATTGCTATCTCTTTATTGTACACATCATCTAGTAAAAAAAAAAAAAAGAAAAAAGAAAGACACAAAAATGAGATAAAATTGAATAACCTTATTGAGGTTGCTACACATTGAATCATCATTCGTATCTTTCTCCTTTTGATTCCCTATTTTTCTTTTGAGAAAGACCATGTAATTCTTACCTCAAATCTCAGAGATAAAGGGTTCAAATTTTTATCAAGTGAGGGTGCTTAGGGATAGAAATTTCCTTACCTTCCCCTTTTACTAAAAAATGTCTAGCCTAAAAATACCAAACCAAAGACCTTGAGAAGGTTGATATCTTGTCATGGCCATTTTCCTTAGCATTAAGAAAATGTGCTTAATTGACATATGGGTATAGTCTAAATATCACTTTCATTCAAGCCTTGCATTTTTATAATCAACTCATAGAAAGATGCTTCGTTGTTTAAAGAGTTTTAGGTATCCAACATGTTAAATGTTTAAAACTTGTCCTATTTTATTACGTACTCGTATTTGATTAAGGCTTCCTTACAATTAGTCAAGGAGGTCGATTGAATAATTGCCAAGTTAAGTTATGAACCTAGAATTATAGTGCAAAAGTATGTGAATTAGATCTACTCTACTATAATTTGCATGGTGTTGTTGGAGCTAGATAGTAAGCTCATAAATTTTCTGTAGAAAATTGGGCCTTGTACGTTGCTGGCCCGAGAAAGTTGCAACCTTACTTTTTTTTTTTGAACTGCTAAACATCGCCCGCAAATTTCCACATAAAGCCCACAAATTAGAAGTGAAATGACACTTTTGCCCTCACACTAAAAAACACACCTTTATCTTCTCTCCACTCCCTACTCTAGTAAAAAACACACTTTCATCTTCCCTCAACTCTCTACTCTCATTTTCTCTCTCTAAAATTATTTTAAAAAATGTCGAGGCGGCAAGGCAAAGAAGTGGCGGCACCGGTGGCCGGAGCAAGGGTGTCTCGAGGTGGAAAGGTGTGTCATTTATTTTTTGAAAAAAAAAAAAAAAAAAAAAAAACCGGAAAAGGTGGCTGGACGTGGCGGCGGCGCCTAGCCCAGACGCCACTGCCATGGTGGTGGCGCCTGGGTCAGACGCCAGTACCACCGAGGTAGCGCTTGGACCAGACGCCACACCCACGGCGGCGGCGCTTGGCCAGGACGCCACTACCACGGTTGCGGCGTCCAAGTTGGACGCCACCACCGTGGTAATGGCGTCCTGCCCAGGCGCCGCCACCGTAGCTATGGCGTCTGGGCTAGACGCCACTCATTTTAATTTTTTTTTTTTTCCGGTTTATTTGTTAATTTTTTTTTTTTAATTTTTTTTCCCAATTATTTTTTTTTTGTATTTGTTTTTCATTTCTTTTTTCAATTTTTTTTGTTTTTTTATTTATTAGGTTATTAAATTTGTTATTGATTAGGTTGTTAATATTTTGTAATGTTTATAATTTTTTTTTTTCCGTTATTTGTATATTGTTTTTATTTATTTATTTTTAATTACTTTTTTTATGTTTATATTGTATGTTTTGATATTTTTTTTTTTGTTTTTGTGTGTATTTTCAATTCTTTAAATTTTTATTTCGATATTGTGTATTTTTTTTTGTAATGTCAATTTGTTAGTATGTTTTTGGTTTATTTGATATTTTTGTTGTTGATATTTTTGAAAATAGATTATTAATATAAATAATAATAATAACAATTGCTATTATTTCTCGTTATTTAAATGGAGTTAGGCATCGTATTTTCGTGCTGGGGCTGGGAAGAGTATGGACATTATGAGAAGTACGATCAACTCAACGGAGAGCTCGGGGCCCAGACACGTTAGATCACGTGGTATTTCGGCCTCGACTCGTAGAGAACGGGTGCACTATTCTGAAGATGATGATGATGGTGATGAGGAGGAGGAGGAGGAGGAGGAGGAGGAGGAGGAGGAGGATGTGGTTGGGGATGTGGACGATCAGAGTGGACCATATGATGATTACGGTCCATTCAGTCAGAGGCTTGATGATATGTATGAGACGCATAGGGTAGATGTGCGTAAGGGTAGAGATGGTAGATTTGTTAGTAGATCTGGCACATCATCTGCGTCCACTGTGTCTGGGGTTAGCAGAAAACGGTCGAGGGCCGTTAATGATTCTTGGGTGGTGAGGGGTGAGGTGGCTGGGGGACCTATAGACGGGAGTGTGATTCCTAGATTTCTAGGACACATCGCTACCCGTATCTGGGAGGACCAGGAGAGGGCTTTGGATAGAGGCATTTT